TAGATACAGCAACACTTAGCCGCTCCGTTTAGAAGCGTTTAGGCGTGGATGTCGAGTGCAAGAGACGTGCACGTCACTAACTAGTGGGGCGCTTTCCACTACCCCCACTCCCTCTCGCCTGTCCCATTTCCACCTTCCGCCCGCCCCTCCCCCTTTTCCCACCGCGAGAAATGTGTAATTCAGACACACTGACCGAGAGACTACTGGTCGCTTGCTGCCGAAATGCAGCTCAATTTCAAGTTGATCTTTTGCCAAGCAAGTCTTCTTTTACAGCCCAGTCAGGCTCAGACTACTTTTGTTAAAATCGGTTAAAATTGTTCGATAAAAAAAGTTACCAGTCGCGGGTGCTAGGTGGTTTCTCATTGCAATCTGCACCGTCAAACAAATCTAAAGCTTTAACAACCGTTTAAAACTTCTAATTGGTGTATGTAACGGTTTTAATTTGGAAAATATTATGCCCTATCCTATGGCTTCACGGTGAGGAAAATACAGCAGAAAGCTTTTTATTTGTTGTAATTTTGTATGATTTGAAGTTTTTCACACTGTATAACTGTCTAATAATTAACATTTTAGATATCTTTGCCTTTTTCCGTGATTGGAACAAATACGTACCGTTCGCTACTGCTCATATACTCTACAAAAATATCAAACTTAAAAATAAACACTAAAAAACATAACAGCGCGCGGGGAGGTAGGTACGGGTCCTTCCCCCCCTCACCCCTCTTGCCACCGCGCACGCAGTTTAGCTCTAATTAGTGCTGCGGAGCGTTTAAACGAGTCTGGGCCGACTGCGTGCGAACGGGCCGCGCCGTTGTGGCGGCGACTCGCTTCCGTCCTCGTCCGTTTGCCTTGCGCAGTAGTACGGGGCAGCTGTGTGCCGACCGGGCTGGTCGCGGTGCGGCGGGCGTGCACGCACCTCGCACGCAGCCCGCACGCACACACACGCACGCACACACACACACACAGCCACCGCGTGGGCGGTTGATCCCCCCCGAGTGTGTCGCTGATAAAATGCTACTTTGCACAGGAAATGACTATCGGGCCGAGTAATCGGGCGGGGCTGGTGGTGTGCTACTGCTGCGGGGCCGAGGGCTCCGCTAGCGGCGGCGGCAGCAGCACAGCCTTCTAGGTTATAGGTTTGTGCGGCCGACATACAACACACGACATTTCGCTGTACACAAAGTCGCGGCCGCAGCGGCAGCAGCTGTCAGTCAGTCTCGTGCACAGCAGCAGCAGCAGCAACAGCAGCAACCCCCTCCTCTTATGAACGTGTCGGCCAGCCGTTTCACGTAAACATAATCGGTCATGTCGGGCCTATTTACACGCCACCCTCTCTCTCTCCTGCTGCTTGGCCGGCCTGCTCGCGGGTCGCGCGGGCGGATGTGAAGCAGCGGCAGCAGCCGTGCTTTACGCGTTAATACTTGCAAATATAATTATTAGATCGTCAACGTTATCGTTCGAATTAGTTTCCCGTGGCGTCAGTTACATGCATTTTTGTTTGACTGTGGAGTGACCAGACTCTACGCAGAAACGTGTTTGAAACGCTGCTGTGCAAATAGCCTGGCTCCCGCGAAGAAGGTGCGGGTGTTTTCACCGTTTCCATCTTGCGTTGGGGTTGGGGGGTAATGAAAAGGAGGAAACGTTGTATGTAAGTTCGTGAATGGGGGAAAAAATCTGCGCGCAGCGGTCAGCGGCCACTTCCAATGATGCGCGGTGTGTCCGTCGTCGCCATCCCTCACCGCAGCCGGACAGCCGTGCACCCCGCACCCCTTCACGGCAGAGGCGCCCCGCGCTCCCGACTCGGGTGACAACTGACGGTCGTAAAACATGTTGTCAGATTTGGCGCGGTATCGACAGGCGCGACAAGATATATCATCGCGAAGAAGGGGGAAGACGTGCACCTTTTACGGAGGGAGAGGTGTGTTCTCATCCGCGTTCCTCGGCAGGTCTTGCCATAATCGCTTGTTTTGCTTGTTATTGTTTGCCCAAGCGTGTGTGGCAAATGATTCTGACCGCAATAAATTTTGCAGCGGACGATCGCCGCGTCGCGCCGCCTAGGTCCGGCCTGCTGTTAGGAAACCGACCAAGAAAGGGGAGAACCATCATAGTTTCGTCTTCACGGAAGAATATAATGGTCCGTTTAGGCGGGCACACACTCTGTTCTCGGCAGCCGCCGTGGCACGGGGCCCTAGGAACTCGTCTCCCACCCCTCCCCCGCCTCCAAAAATGC